CACCCTGGAACCAAATAAATAATATATATATATATATATATATATATACATATAAACTTAAAATAATGGCTTAAAATAATAATCTTAAACTTAAAATAAAATAAAATTGTAAAAATAGAAAAAAAGGCAGTTTGGTTTTAAAAGAGCCAACTTAAGAGTAACATCACTTTTTCTCTCGTGAACATGCCAAGGAATATTACAGGAGTGCAAATGTTAAATTTTAATTCAGCAATAAAATAAAATACATTTTGGTTTGTGAAATAGACCAAAGTGAAATACATACAACATTTTGGGGTTAAATTAACAGCCAATTTATGTACATGTGCGTACATTTTGGCCTGTTTCTTTTTTTAAACTATCGTTTGACTTCAGAAGATTTGAAATATATTGCATGAGATGCCTTTACCAATTTTTGATATTTTTCTAATGTTTTTTTTAATCCATTATGAAATCCTCATTCAGCATTCATTGTAACTGTATTGAAAAGAGCACTACCATGACTATCCTCAAATTTTACTTTTGTATTCATGAGTAAATGATGATGAAAAGTGTCATTTTGGGGTGAACTATTCCTTTAATGGCTTATTTTGTAATATGCATATTTCTTTTTTTTTAAAAGTTATTTTAAGGGCTTTTTATGCCGTTTATTGTGATAGGACAGTAGAGAGACGACAGGAAAGTACTGGGAGGAGAGAGGGGAGCGGGATCGGCAAAGGACCCCGAGACGAGAATCGAACTCAGGTCACCGTGAGCACAGTTGCGCTATATGTCGACGCACTAACCACGAGGCTATTGGCGTCGAAGTAATATGCATATTTCAAATTTAAAGATGGACCTACTATTTCATGGCCAACCAGACCCTCCAGGAGTTCAAGAAGACGCCGGCCATCACACAGATCAATGAAGAGGTCATCGATAGGGGGTCTTCTTGTCTGGAGAATAAACAGAACTTATAAAGGCTGCAGGTCTTTATTCAGTTCTTCATACACAGCATTGTACTGTGAAGTTCTTTCAAACGAAAAATAACTTTTTGCCCACAGCTCTGCCTTGAAGCAACCACTTCTCTCTCAGTTTGAAGGACAAAGAACTGATGTCCTTCCTCTGTTAACACACTGTAAAAGGACGCTTACAGAGTTACAAAGAGAACGCAGAAACCTCTGTTTTGAAACACCTTACCTAGAAGCGCAAAACGACAGACAAACAAATCTAAAGCAAACATTCAAACATTCACACTCACATCCTGACATAGATAAAGGTTAGTGACAAGAATGTGAGCGAGTGTCAATCTTAACTTTTAACCTCAAGATCAAGACTATGTGCAAGTGTGAATCTTAACTTTTAACCTTGATATCAAGCCTGTGTAACGAATCAGCTCATAGGAAATATGAATAATTAATCATAACTAGTTATAATTAATTATGAATCTTTTAGATCCGCTGTAGATATTTAGCTGACCTCTCAGGGTCAACTGTCTTGTCAATTCTAAGAACGTTTCGGCTTCCTGGGGTGTTACGCATCGCGGGGGAAGGGTCCATAGGTCCTCATATGGCTTGTTAACTGAGGGGTGTTACAGAGTATTTGTTAAATATAGCTAACGAAATATATATTGTGTGTTTGATTGGTCCAGACGCTACACCTGTCTACCTTACATCTCCTCATCCGCCCACCATGTAGTAGGTGGATGAATAGCAACATTTCAGTTTGTATACCTATAACATGCAATTCCAGGATGCAACAACAGAAATCCATGAAGATTTCTCAGAAAATCGCAGTTTAAAGATTTCCTTAATTGGTTAATCAAAACAGATTTTGCATGATTAAACATTTTTTATCTGACATTAAAAGGATAGTTCACCCAAAAATGACAATTCTGTCATCATGTTTGGTTACCAACTTTCTTCAAAATATCTTTGGAAGGTTTGGAACAACCTGAGGGCGAGTAAATAATGGCAGACTTTTCATTTTTGGGTGATTCGGTGTTACCTCAACACACTATTAAAAAAATAAAAATACTCAAGTCACATTACCTTAGCAAACTGTGAGTTTATCCATTTCGTGAAGGTTTTCTTTTGAACATCTTCTCTTTCATCTGAAAATGAGAGAGAACACTGTCAATACAGTCCAGTTAAGGTTCAACTATTAAAATTTCATTTCAAACAAAGAAACCTAATACCAAACAAATCATAGTCATTTAACACCTTAAGAAATGTAAAGCTTTACAGCTACATAACAGCATATATCATCAAAAAAAGTAGCTTGATTATTAAAGTAGCTACTGGCAAATAAGAATAAAGTCCACCGTGATCAATGGGACGTATTCACTCTGTTGTGGCATTTGATATGAGGAAGGTTAAATACAAAGAGACTATGAGCAAAAAGCCCCTGAAAGACCCGAGAATGGTTTGAGGGTATATACAGATCAATGGTCAGCTGGCATTCAAAAGATTACTTCTGAGAGACCGAGGGTGTAGATCAGGCAAGCTTTACAAACACAATGGCTGAGTGGGGTGAAAAATTGATCAGAAAAGCCAAAGAACCTGCTTATAAATTTCTCTATTATTCCTATTCATTTCTAAAGCACAGGATACTTAATTGCAAACAAGCAATTGTAAGATCAAGAATCCAGGAACATTTGTTTGTAAAAGTCCTCTTTTTGGTTGCCTCACTCAGAGCCGCCAATAAAGACTACTGTTGATAAAATGCCAGAAAGCCACTCTTGTGTTTGTAAAGAGAGTGAAAGAAATGGCGGGTGTTGGGAACATTAAAAATCAATCAGTACAAAGAACATTTAGCTTTCATATCACATTAAAAACTTGTGTTGTTCCCCGTTCTAATATTCTCCAATTGCTTTGATTCGGATCTCTGTGCGCTACCCTCTCGGCTTGCTTGAGTTTGAGATTGATTACAAAAGCGTAATTCTTATCTAGGGGCCCTGATGATATTAAAGCGAGAGTTCACGCCTATAATGAAAACTCTGTCATCTCTTCTCATCTTCGCATGGAGCACAAAAGGAGTTATCTAGCAAAGGTGGTCCTTGCTCTCTATCCACTTTCACTGGAAAACAGCAGCTTGGACGTTCTGCAAAATATCTCCTTTTGTGCTTCTCGCAAGAAAACAAGTCATGCTGATTTGGCAACAGTGTCATGTTTGGGCAACTATCTCTTTAAAACCTTTCAAAACAGCGAATCGTTAAGAAAGAGTAATGTAGCGTCTGCGTAGAATCATGCATGATCTTTGGGGTTTTATGGCTTAAGAGACCCTTTTAGCCTTTTGACATTTGCATATAAATTACAGTTCTGCAGTTGGGCAGGTGCCCAATGGACTGAGAATACCCTCGCTCACGCAGAAGCCGATATCAAACACATGCTCTCTCAGTTGCAGAAAATGACTGTCACTCAAGCAGAGCTAAGCGGACATAACAGGCGTGACAAACGATTCCTGGGGGCCTTGCTCGGAGCTGCTGCTGCTGTTGGAACCCTGTTCAACCTGGGAGTGACCAGTGTCAACTCCGTGAGCCTATCTACCCTGAGGCAACATGTAAGGGAGATCCAGACTGAGATGCCCCAGCTGAGAGAACAACTCACACTACAGGGCCAAACCCTACAGACTATAGGCAAATCATTAAAGGGCACCTTGGTGGTTCTGAAAACTCACAGTGTCCTGCTGAACCAAACTGTGAACTCCGTGAAACAGTTATTCTCTGTTATACAGAATGATGTTGCCCAAACTCAGCTGGTCACCGCACTGATGTCTGACATGCTCCGTGAGGTGAGCTCCTCCATTGACAGCCTAGCCATGGGTAGAATTCCTCCGTATCTGGTGCCCCTGAGCCTAGTACAAACAGTGTTATCCTCTGTAACTACCCGTCCAGCTGACCCTCTTCAAGCCCACCTTGCCTACTCCCTGGGAGGGTCCATCCTGCTACATGTCGACCCCGAGCACAGCGAGATGGCGTTTCTTCTGAATCTACCCATCATTGAATTCGACAACATTTACAGACTCAAAGACATTGTCAATGTTGGATTTTGGCAGGGAAACACATCAGAATACACACACCAGATATGGTAGCCTACCACGACAATAACCCACAGTTATACTTGGGCTCGGTGGACGGACAGATCAAGTAATGGTAATATTGATTCTGCTACAGTTAATTCAAAGATCTAATCTAAATATTTATTATGAATCATAACCAGTTATAATTCGTCATACATATTTCCCCTTTTGAGCTTGAAATTACTACAGTAAGTATTGCTTTGATATGTCCTTGTACACAAAAAGCACTGGGTGGTGAATCACAAGCTTTCCAGAGTCAGCGTGGATGACAGCATTTTCATGCATAATTGATTTAAAGCTTCCAGTTGTTTTTGCCACCATTGCAATAATCATCATGAAATGGGTAGTTTCAGTTCATTGTTCCCATTGGTCAGCCTACACTTCAGCTGACTGCATAATCACTGTAGCATGGCTCAGATTTGTTTCAAGCCTGACTGTACCATGTCATGCTTATAATCGCAATAACACACACTCTCACACGGTTTTGCTGTAATAATATGACAGAAGAGTAAACAGCACTGAAAAATTCACAATTATCAGTATTACTAGAAAAAGTCCAAATTAGTAGATAAAAAGGTCAATAGTTTCTGCTATCCCATGCAGATCACATTGTTGGTTCCTGAAAGCCATTTCCATTTCCATTTATCATGTCCGAGGTTCATTTGAGTTCTTTACTGTAGAGAATGGTGACTTGTAAAGGCATCTCAACACCGCAAAAAGCACCAATTATGAACTATTCTTATCGTGGATCAATAATTTCTGGAGCAAATCAGATATCTCTTAATGTTCCATAATGCCAAAAGTCATTCCTTTACTTGATTACCACAATCCGCTTCAATTAGACTCTCAACCCCCTTGACAAAATGTGCAGAATACAGCAGCTATGCAAAAAGGAAAAGCTGATTACTCTAAGTCTTTTGCTGCAAAGGGAACCTTCACATTATCTTACAGTATTACTGATATTGATCTACAAAGCTCTAAATTAGCTGCTTTTATAAGCTCAGGATTTGACAGGGAAATTATATTTCTGCCTTCTTCAGGTTTGGAAACACAACAGGGTAGACAACATCCCACAGTGTCCCTTCACAAACTGAATATCGAATGCCTAAACTTTAAGACATAATTCATTACCACATTAATATGCTGTAATTCTAGTTGGTCGGATGGCTCATTTGCTATTAAACAAAAACTAATCTGCACCATAAAAGTGAAAACACCCCAAAATTAATTTCTGTCATTATGTACTCAACCTTCCAAAAGTGCATGTCTTTCTTTTTAACACTAAGGCAAAACGTCAGAGCTGTTTTCTTCCATACTTTGAAAGTGAATGGTGATCAGGTGCTGTCAAGCACCAAAAATTATCACCATAAAACTATCATAAAAGTAGTCCATATGACATGCATGCTATATTTCAAGTCGTCTGAAGCCATACAATAACTTTGTGTTAGAAACAGCTGTGGCCAACGTTTACTTTCATTATATGGAAGAGAGCAGAAGGACATTCTGCTATAAATAACTCCTTTTGTGTTCCAGGGAAGAAAGAAATGGGTTTCAAAAGACTTGAGGGCGAGTAAATGATGACAGAATTTTTAAGTTCACTTAGATGGAACCAAATTAAACACATTGTAGGCTACCTGACATAACATCTTTCGCAGAGTGCTCTCAATGCATTACAGATTCATGCAAAAGAGTGTGAACAAAGATCTGTCAACAAAGCCGAAGGTCGATGTTTTGCAAAAGCAGAGGTGTTAAACTCCTTGCTTGACGTCCTCCTGTCAAAATATGCAATTGTAATCAACAGCCCATAATAGTTGTTTTTGCCCGGTTGTGACAATTATCATTTCTGAAACACCCTGATAATAAATGTTCTGCAATGAAAAGGAATTTAGCCTTGGCTCTGTAGGTGATAATAGCAAGTGTGTTTTAATAAAAAGAACCCAAATGGGTTAAGCATTATTCAAAACAAAACAAAAGTTAATAAAACGCATACATTTGAAAATGTAATTGGACAAATTTATAAAACTGCTGGAAATTAATGGTGCAAATGTGCATTTAAAAAAAAGTGGGAGAACTGGAGACAAATATAACCAGGATCTGGAAAATATATATATATATATGACAAAAGTGTGTGTGTGTGTAGAGATAGATAGATAGAGAGAGAGAGAGAGAGAAAAAATAAACACTGATATTTTAGCAGTAGTGGTGTTCATAACCAATTTGGCAACCAGAATTAAGAGCGATTAACCCTGAGTTATCGTCATTCTAAATACAGCTTTTAACCCCCAGGTTGAGGAACGTTACAAACTTGCAATTCAGAGGTGGGGTTACCACTGCTTTTTACCTGGGTTAGGAAACCCTGCTTTAGAACCACAGGGTTAGAACCACTTTTACAGCATCAACCCCCGTCATGTGGTGCCAAATGTGAAAAGGCGGTGTTAGAATGTTCCTAACTAAATATGCTCCAAGAATGTTTTGCTAACGTTCCCATTAAGTTTTGAAACGTTCTTACCAAATGTTCTTTGAAAGTTCACAATGTATAATGTTTTAACATTTTACAAACATAGGAAATTATTGTTGAATGTTCTCTATACCATCTAAAACTAGTAAGAATTCATGTTTAAAAAAGTTAGACAAACGTCCAACTAAATTAATACAGAAAAACGTTCCATAAATGATGTATAAACAATATTTTTGTGCTACTGTTTTGAGAACGTTATTAGGAACAGATGACATAGAACAAACATTTTGTTAATGCTGCTGGAAGAATGTTTGTTCATTACTTTTAATGAGCCTTGCCAGAACGTTATAAAGTTCTGAGAATGTTTCCTGTTAGCGGACTTGATGCTTAGCAAGACACCCTATCGCGTGTCTCATATTCACATGCTCAATGAAAATGTCAAATGGTGATGAAACTTGTGAAAAAGAGACCGTTTCATTCTTACCTTTATAATTTATAAGACCATTCAGGAAAAAACAGGCTAATATATAATGAGGATGCACAATGCTAGAGCCTTTAAACGGGTCACGTGCTGC